AATGAAGTTGAGGTAGAGAGTTGACTACTATTCTATACTCGTGATCAATCACAGCTTCGTTTAAATTGCCTCTAGAAATGTTGTTGTGGAAGGCCGCATCTAATCATCAAGTTAATTGACTAAATTTGAGAAATTAACCAGTGAAGATTGTTAAGTGTATAAGATTGGATCGTCGGATTATCAGCTTTTGAATGAAACAAACCTGCATCAGGTCAACAAACCATATAGATGATTGTTTTTGCACCATTTTTTATGTATAAACCTAGGTTCTAGCCTCTCCAAAAGGAAGGAAGCCAATTTCATAGTGGTGATCAATGAAAGGAAGTAAAATGATGGTAGTATTATGTAACCGTATCAAGTCAGTCAATTGAATTGATTCCTAGTGTCAAACTCCTACGGTGCAGATCCTTAGCATTCTTCATACATTCTGAAACATAAAAGATGATAGAAATAACGTACAGCTCACTATTGTCATATAACAAATCTATATCGTATTATTCAATTACCGTGACCAGAATGAATAAGATTTTTACAAGTTTTCATCTACATTCACTGGTCCCATTGATTTTACGCATTTTCAATGTTTCAATGTAAATAATTAGTTTAAACAAACCACTATTTAAATGAAACTGATTAGGTATAGAGAATAACATAACTTATGTTTGTTTATTACGTCAAACGAACATTACCTCCATTCATATGCATATATGAAAGCATATAAAGCTGGTGAATTGAGAGAGAGATAGAATTATAATCGAATCTTCTTAACCGCAAATAAAAAGATTTATAGTTTAACAGCTGAAGTTCTTTCAAAAGTTAAGTATATCGTCAAACAACTGACGAATAATGCTGAACCCATAGATCGCAGCCACGACCAGAGAAAGATTTATTGAGTGTTCTTTGATTGCTTGAAATTTTCAGCGTATAACTCTTCTTAATGTCAAACAGATCCTTCATTCACAGACTTAGTGATTAATCAGAAAAAATTGAAACTGCTTGATGATTGAAGGTGAAATAAAAACTTGAATCTTGGCGACATTTGAATTAATCGTAATCCAGTTACCTATCCGATATTCTGTCAACTCAAATAAGAGGTTCAGCGGCTAACATAGTCCTCGCAGGAATCAGAGAGACAAAATGACCTCGTTTGGTGAAAGCCTCCAGGAAGCCAGTCGGCCCATGTGTCTTCTCTCGATGAAAGCAAAAGTAATGATGGGGACATAGAATGTCCGTACCATGTATGAACCTAGCAAGGCTGCCCAGATTCCAAAAGAGATGAGGAGATATGGCATAGAAGTGCTTGGAATCTGCGGGGAATAAGCAGATGGAATGGAAGCGGACTCTCCAAACTCTTAACTGGAGAGTCAGTAATCTACTACGATATTGTCACCCAGACGACAACCACGAGCACACTGAGTTTCGGAGTAGCTATCGTGATGTCTCCAAGAGCATCGAAGGCTCTCATGCAGTGGGAACCAATCTCCTCCTACAGGAACATAACAGCAAGATTCAACTCAAAAGGAAGGAAAATCATAATCATTCACTGCTATGCACCTACAAATAATGCAAATGAAGAGAAGAAGGAGAAATTCTATAGACAACTGCAATCAGTTCTAGACAAGACTCCACTCTAGTTGGCGACATCAAAATTCTAATGGGTGACATGAATGCCAAACTGAGAGCAGACAACACTGGAAGATAACTCATCATGGTTTGAGAAGCACTCGGTGAAGTGATGAACGAGAATGGAGAACTGTTTGTAGACTTCTGCTCATTCAACGACTTTGTGATTGGAGGCAGTTTGTACAAACACAAGGATATTCACAAAGCGACATGGACTTCACCAGATGGACATACTACATTAAAAATCAGATTGACTTTATCTCAATGTAAAGAAAATGGAGATGCAGCCTACTGGACACGAGGTCAGTTTAAGAAGGGGAGCAGATGTTGCTTCACACCACTCACTATCTAGTGCAAGGAACCTTCGAAATAAAGTTGTAAGCCTTCAAGGAAGTTGGTGACAGACCACAGTTCAACACCCAAAACAGAAACCGAATTGAAGGACGAAACTACAAAGGTTATCTTCATGTCAGTCATCAGGAAGAACATTGGAACTCTTTGAAAGAGATGTTGGAAGATACCTATATAACCGTGTTAGGAAGGAAGAATAAAAGAGATAAGGAATGGATCTCGACGGACACATGGAAGTTGATGGAGGAAGGAGAGGAGGATGGTGAAGCAGAAGATGAAACAGTACAAGGATGCACAACGAAAAGAAGAACTGAATAAAACGTATAAAACACTGGACAAAGAAGTGAAGAAGAGTGCGCGCAAAGACAAAAGTTACTTCTACGAAACACTAGCAGGTGAAGCAGAACAGGCTGTAGGTAGGAGAAACAAAGATCCGATAACACTATGTCAAATAACCACGTTGCCATCTGGGAGGGAAGAGATCAACACAAATGAAACCAATGAGAGATAGTGAAGAAAAGCTAGTTACCAAAGGGAGAGGGGGAAAAAAGGAAACAGCGGGCTGACCGTTTCAAAAAATCTCTTGAATCCCCCACTATTACCTGCAACTCATCCAGAAATAATACCAGCAGTGGCTAAACTACAATTGAACGCAAGCCCTCCGACGGAAGTCGAAGTCCTGAGCGCCATAAAGGTACTGAAGTGCGGAAAGCAGCAGGACCAGATGGAATTCCTCCAGAAGCACTGAAAACAGACGCAAAGACAACAGCGGACATCCCCACACCACTATTGCATAAGGTTAGGAAGGAAGGAAAAGTACCTGGACATTGGAAGCAGGGCTGCCTTGTCTAGCTCCCAAAGAGGGGAGACCTAAGTCTCTGCAAGAACTGGTGAGAAATCATGCTCCACTCCTGTCCACCCTAAGCAAAATATTATGCCGCATCATCCTGGAGAGACTAAAAGATATGCTGGATTCAAAATTACGACCGGAAAAGACTGGCTAGCTTGCTGGATTCAGGAAGAACAAATCATGTGTCTATCAAATTGCAACGCCACGCTTTGCATCATCATAGAACAGAGTATAGAATAGCATTCAACTCTACACCTCAGCTTCATCGACTTTGAAAAGGCCTTTGACAGCGTCGATTGACAAGTAATTCAGCAGTTGCTAAAACACTACGGTTTTAGTGCCAATTATCTTTATCAACCTTATTCAATAGTTATATGAAGATGCCACATGCCAAGTGATCCACAATGGGTGGCTCAGTGACGCTTTTCAAGTGAAGACAGGAGTAAGACAAGGTGGCTGTCTACTATTACCCATGATATTCCTGATTGCGGTGGACTGGATAATGCAACAAACTGTGAGGAGTGAGAAGAAGGGCATATGCTGGAACTGGTAAAGACCCCAGAAGATTTGGATTTCGCCGACGATTTATGTCTAATATCTTGTAGCACAAACTCCAAGATGTACAAGCGAAAACTGACGAGCTGACAGAAGAGGCCAGGCAGCGAAGGAAAACAAGACTTCAAGTGAATGTAGAGAAGACAGAGGTGATGAAGATACCCAACCAACGCCAACAACAACAGCATGGACAACAAGCACCGATGACCATCAACGAGAGAGAGAAATCTAAAGGAAGTAGTCTCTTCCAACTACGTAGACAAGGCAGCATCGTTTCAGCTACAGGTGGCGGCTCAGACGAGGACGTCAAGCAACCAGGATAGGAAAGATAGCAAGACAGGCCTTCAATAATCTGAAATCAGTGTGGAACTCTACCGCACTCGGGTACTCGAGTGGAATCTAAAGGGGGAACGACGAGTTGGGCGTCTGAGTCGAGGGTGATATGGGGGAGATCGTGTAAGGAAGAAATGAAAGCTTGTGGGCATTTATGGGGGCAGGTTTTGAAGACTATAGAGAAGACAGTGAAATGAAAGCGTGCTACTGGAGCCTTATGTTCCAGCAGGAACTCAAGGGAATAGTAATAATTGTGTTAATTTTTGTATTTCTCCACCCATTCTTCGGCCTTATATCAGTTGACTTGAGACAATTATATGTGTTTGTTGGAGGGAGGGGGGATCAAATTGTTCAAAATGCAGAGCACAAATATACTACACAGATTGTTCAGATAAACTTCATCTTCTAATTATACTATCGAAATTCATAAAAGGGATTAACTGTTTCAAATTTCTCCAAAGCTCAAAACTGATTCATCCATTAAAGAGGTTCAAATAAATGTAATTATTATGTTAAATTATTATTATTATTTGTCCATTGGGTTCCTAGTGGAACATACCACTTCAGTAGCACGTCTACAATGCGCTATGTTCCCTGAAGTCTTTTCATCCTGACTCCACGACAGCTCACAAGCTCTCATTTCCTCCTTGCACCATCTCCTCCATATCACACTCACCTCGGACTCCCAACTAGTCGTTTCACATCTCGGTTCCAATCGAGTACCTGGTCTGGCGCGTGATGTCCCTGAATGATCTTCTCACTGCATGCCCACTTCCTTCTTCTACATATCCGTTGAGTGATAGGTTGTTGGTTGGTTCGTTTCCAATCAGCCAGCCAGAGTTCCTTGTTGCTTATTCTCTCTGGCCATATGAGCTTCGATTATGTTAAAAGTGCCTTTTATTTCCTATATCTTTATGACACAGTCTCATTTGATAATCTAAATAAAAACAAAACTGACATCAGTTGGAGGAACAAAGGAAACCTGGGAGCACTTGACAGCTGTTTCGTCCTAGTATGGGACTCCTCAGCAGTGCGCTATATCGTGAGCTAACAGAAGTTGGAAATATGGAGCATTGGATTCTGACCCAGTGGCTCAATGGTAACGCGCTGGTCGCGGAACCTGAAGGTGGCGGGGTGGATCCCTGCTGGTGGGGTCGTGGGTGCGCACTGCTGAGGAGTCCCATACTAGGATGAAACAGCTGTCCAGTGCTCCCAGGTCTCCTTTGTTCCTCCAACTGATGTCAGTCTTCGATGAATAACAACTTGAAAAACAAAACTAGTAATTTTTCTACTAAAATTCAATTTTCTTTTAAAAATAATTGAAATGAAGGAGTATAGTAATCAGTAGGATATAATATGAATAATCATCGCCAAACGTTTATAGTCAGGGAATATTCTAGAAATATGTCATCAATCTTATTTCACCTTTCTATTATCTATCTGATCACTGAATTAATCCATGCTCAATGTATCATATATGAATTGATAGTTAAGTTAATCCTTCACTTAGAGGATTGTTCCAACTTCATTATTATGATTATCATTTTGGTATTGTTTAACACCAATCATATTCAACTTTGATGATAAAGGAGGCTTAAAGTTTATTGGTGTAAATTTTTGACCTTTTTTAGTCGTTAATTGTTCAAATTTCTTGATAACAGATGAAACAGGATGTACAATATCACTTGAATATTCTTCATCAATTTGATTATTGTTTCTAATTTCTTCTGTATAATCACTATGAATATTAGAAAGAGAATTCTCCTTTTGAATACTTTTTGATCGAAAATTAAACATTTCTTGTGAATTGATACTACTTAAATCATTGAAATAAAAACGTATCATACGTTCACGTTCTTCAGCGAATTCTTGTTCTATAAACTACAATTTCAAAAAATTTATGTATTTAAAAACATGCTACTTTATACAAAATTAAGTAGTATAAATCATAAACAACATATTTTAGTGAGTACATTCAAACGTAAATAAGTTAACGGTTTTAGTGAATATTAAGGTACAAATAAAAGTCGAAATACTGACAATCAGTTGATAAATCCACTTGAAAGATACATCAGCCTTACCAATTCGTTTTGACTCAAGTACTGATGAATGGAATAGAGAATATGCTAACTGATCCTCTTTGTCATCATGTCTATTACAATAAGTTTCATCAGCCGTCTACCCACCGCACGTAAAATCAGTTCAGTTAGGTGGTTAATAAGAACTTATTGACTTTACGCTAGTAATCATCACGGAATGATGTTGGTTGGAGGATCATTGAAAACCTATGAGTATTGAATAGCTGTTTCGTTGTAATATGGGACTTCTTAGAGGTGCCCCTCATAACTCCACCAGCGACCGGATGGCTAGTGGTATACTGTGTCCTTCACCTAATTCTATGGCTTCATGTCTGTTCTCACATCTGATTTCATTCGCTCCATTGAGCATGATTTCTGAGTCGTTCATGTAGAGATGTTATTAGTCAGTAGTTTGCTTAGTTGTAGCTAGCAGAAGAATCCAGGACGCGGGTCTTGTCCTATTTGCGACACTTTAACAAGATTTACCTGCCCCCCAGTATGTGATCTTGTTTCTCCTGTGACTCAAACCTCATAGCTATTGCTTCAAACATCGAGGAGTTATCCACTACGTCATGGAGGCACAGTAGCCACTTCTTGTCATTGTTAACAAGGAAACTCAGGATGAATTCCACATTTTATACACATAGTCCGTTGATGAATCAATCAATGACTTCAATGAAGAATCAAATTTACCTCATCTCACAGCTTCTATCCAGATATGAGAAGTTTAAAATTATATCGACAGTACTCAGAAAAAATAAATAAGTGAAACACTTAACTGGAATCGGTAGTCAATACTTGTAGCTCAAGATATGGATGTTCCAACAGATTTTTCCTTTACTGTGGCGTTTCACCTGTCAAATGTTATGGTGTAATGTAAGACATCATCATCAACGCATCACAGCTTCATAAGAAAGTCAAATAATTGGTTGCGTGTAGGTGATTATCGAAAGTTCACCATTATTATTATTTGTCCCTTGGGTTCCTAGTCCAACATACTGCTTAAGTAGCACGTCTCCATTCCACTCTGTACTCTGCGATCTTTTCAACCTGGCTCCACAACAGCCCACTACCTCTCATTTCTACCTCATACCATCTCCTCTATGTCACCCTCACCTCGGACGCCCAGCTCGTCATTTCCCCTTCGGGTTCAACTCGAGTACCTGGCCTGGCACGCGATGTCCCCGAATGGTCTGCTCAGTGTATGTCCAGTCCAATTCATCACCAGTTCCTTCTTCATATTTGTTGATTCGTTCCCAGAGCTCCCTGTTGCTTATTCTTATTATTCTGGCCATCTGATCTTCAGTAACGAGTCAGCGTAGGCAACAGTTGTTGATGAATATCTGCAGTTTGTTGGAAATCCTTTTTGTAACGCGCCAAGTCTCTGAACCATATAGAAGCACTGACTTGACTGACATTGGTGTTGAAAATCCAAAGAAAGTTCACCATATAACATGATTACAAACAAACGTGTGGATAACTGAATATTAAGCTTTCGATCCAACCCTTGATAACAACTCAATTAGCAAGTAGAAAGAAAGGGTGGTAGGATAGAAGAAAGCGTATCGCAACGTATATATATATATATATATATATATATATAACATATATATATATATATATATATATATATATATATATAATCGTATACAAACAATTATAATGATCTTGACTATTTCCAGTTGTTTCTGGAACATTCCTTGTTGATTCTACACGAACGATAACGCATCTTTCTTAGAAACCTCGAAGCATTCTGATAGGATATCGAGGGCTCTCAAACATATATGGTTACTTCAATCACAATTTATCCACTTAAAAAACAATCAATTTATTGATTTTTAATTGTTTTTCGGCATAAACTGAATTCATTTAGAGGAATGTTGGAAACTTCAGAGCATCAGACAGCTGTTTCATCCTAGCACGAGATTCCTCAGTAGTGCACACTTATGACTCCACTAGCGATCCAATGGTTCATATTTCCTTCACGTGATGCATAACGTGACCTCATTTATGTATATGAGCTGAGCTTGAATGAAAGTGCAAAATGTAAGCATATATCTCATCTTCAGTAGCTTCACGGTGTGTTTCAACATTTCTTGCCGTTGAAGGTAATGGGCAGAGTACCCTATTTGTTTACATCACTGAGTGAGGTGTATCTGCAGCTTCAAGCCAACCAACTTTCTGTCAGAGATATAAGTTCATACAATCAAGTTATACGGTCACAGACATCATCAGTAAGCAGTTTGAGTTCTGACTTATCTTACCTATCACCACCATTTACTTCTCAACAACTCACTCAAGTGAATATTGATTAGTTTGTAATGGTCATTACCTGTCAGCGTTTTTAAAGTCAACTGTTTCTATTATATAAGATGTTCCCGTTTCATAGATATATGAAAACACTCGCAAGGACTGTCTAAGCTTTTTAAGTTGCCTTCTTTTTCGCCGTAGATTATTCATCGTCAGTATTCATATCAAGCCGCATCATCCTGGAGAGGCTAACGGATGCACTGGATTCAAAACTACGACCGGAACAGGCAGGCTTCAAAAGTTTAAATCATGTGCGGGCCAAATTGCAATGCTTCACATCATCATAGAACAGAGTATAGAATGGCAGTCAACTCAACTCTACCTCAACTTGATCGACTTTGAAAAGATCTTCGACAGCGTCAACCGAGAGGTAATTTGGAAACTGCTTCAATACTACAGAATACCACAAACCTTTATCAGCCTCATTCAACAACTATATGAAGACGCCACATGCCGAGTAGTTCACAATGGGAAGCTCAGTGATGCTTTTGAAGTGAAGTGAAGACAGGAGTGAAACAAGGTTGCCTACTATCCCCCATGATATTCCTTATTGTGGTGGACTGGATCATGCAGCAAACAGTGGGCAGCGAGAAGAGGGGATACGCTGGATGACGGAAAAGAACCTAGAAGATCTGGATTTCGCCGATGAGTTGTGCCTGATGTCACACAAACCTGAAGACCTACAGGCGAAAACAAACAAGTTGGTAGAAGAGGCAGAACAGCGAAGAGAAGACTTCAGGTGAATATAGAGAAGACAGAGGTAGAGGTGATGAAGATACCGCATCAACAACTCCAACAACAACAACAACAAACTCCAGTCACCATCAACGGGAGAAACTTAAAGGAAGTAACCTCCTTCACCTATCTAGGAAGCACTGTTCCAACTACAGGCAGCACAGGCACAGACAAGGATGTCAAAGCCAGTCAGGATCGGAAAAGCAAGACAGGCGTTCATTAGCCTGAAACCAGTGTGGAGATCTTCTGCACTACACTCAGCATGTGAAACAAGATCCGGATTTTCAACACCAATGTCAGTCAGGTCAGTGCTTCTGTATGGTTCAGAGACTTGGCGCGTCACGAAAGGCATTTCCAATAAACTACAGACATTCATCAACAACTGCCACCTACGCTGGCTCATTACTGAAGATTAGATGGCCAGAAAGAATAAGCAACAAGGAGCTCTGGGAACGAACCAACCAAGAACCTATCACCCAACAAATATGCAGTAGCAGGAAGTGGAGATGGATTGGCCATACACTGAGAAGGCCGACTGAGGACATCACACGTCAGGCCAGGCACTCGAGTGGAATCCCCATGGGAAGCGACGAGTTGTGTGTCCGTGGTGAGGGTGACATGGAGGAGATCGTGCGATGAGGAAATGAGAGGTTGTGGGCTGTCGTGGAGCCAAGTTCAAAAGATCTCAGAGAACAGAGGTCACTGGAGACGTGCTACTGAAGCCCTATGTTCCATTAGGAACTCGAAGGACTAATAATAAATAATAATAATAATGATAATTCATATATAGGATTTCAAGCTTCGATACATGTCTGTTAACATGACTTTGTGAATCCATCACCTTTACAAGTACTCGTGTACATAATGTTGTCTAGTTTACATAATAGAATTCAAATTAATGCAAAAAAGTTGATACTAATCAACTCACCTTTTGATTAGCTTCCAGTGTAACAGATAAATAGGCTGCACGATTATTGAAATCTATTTGACATCGTTTCACAGCTGCATTTTCACTTGATGTTAATATTTTCAACTGTTCCACATGTGATTTCAATAGATTTTCTGTTAGACAATGTTGTTGTTCTAATAAACTTGTCCATAGTTCACTTTGACGGGTGGTTAGTATATTCAAAACTGTTTTAGGAAGAGATTCATACGCCTAATAACATAAATAGATAAAAATGTATTTGGTGACTAGATTAAAACAATTTTCAAAATTCAATGTTCAACATTTCTATTTCTTCTTGATCTTAGAAATATATATTAGTAAAGTATTATCATTACTATAAGCTTTATCAACCTCATTCAACAGCAGCTATATGCTATGCTGTATGATGCTGCATGCCAAGTAATCCACATTCGAAAGCTCAGTGATGCATTTGAAGTGAAGTGAAGACACGAAGGAGTAAGAAAAGGTTGCCGCCTACTATCACCGATCATATTCCTGATTGTGGTCAACTGAACTGGACTGCATCATGAAACAGAAAATTGTGAGCAGTGAGAACATGGGCAAATTCTGGCTGGACCAATGAAAAGACTCTAGAAGATTTGGATTTCATCGATGATGATTTATGTGTAATGTGTTGTCGCACAAACTCGAAGATCTACAGGAGAAAATCAACAAGTTGGCAGAAGAGGTGAAGCGAGTCAGTGAAGGAAGACGGGACTTCCTTCAGGTAAACATGGAGAAGATGGAGATGATGAACATACCCAACCAACAACAACAACAACAAGCACCAATCACCATCAGCAGGAGAGACGTAAAGGAAGTTATCTGTTTCAACTACCTGCCTAGACGGCATCGTTTCAAATGCAAGCGATGGAATAGATGAGGATGTTGAAACCAGGATCGAAAAGACGGCAAGACACGCCTTCCTCTCTTAATATGAAATTAATGTGGAGATCTACTGCACTCCACTCTACTCTACTCAGAATATAGTGTGAACAACATCCCGATTTTCAACACTAATATCAATCAAGTAAGTCAGCACTTCTATGTGATGGTTGAGAGATTTGGTGGCGCGTTATGAAAAGCATTTCCAACAAACTGCACACATACATCATGAACAGCTGCCACCTACACTCACTCGATACTGAAGATGAGATGGTGAAAAACAAGAATCAACAGGGGACTGTGGCTGTCAACTAACCAACCAACCAATCAAGAAGCTATCATCCAACGTGTATGCAGAGGAAGAAAGTGGAGATGGATTGGAGATACTTTGAGAAGATGGTTTGGGGACATGATGCTTTATGTCAGGCCGTCGAGTGGAAGCGAAATGGGAAACGACGAGTTGGGCATGCGAGCCGAGGGCGGCATTGGGGAGATCATGTGAGGAAGAAATTGGAGTTTATCGGCAATGATGGAGCCACGTTGAGAAGACTGTAGAGGAGACAATGGAACGGCGACGTGCTACTGAAGTGGTATATTCCATTAGGAACCCAAGGGAAAAATAATAATAATAATTCTGAAATCCCTTATTTCTCGAATTTGAGGATACTGAGGAGTGATAGATAAATTCTACCAATGACCTCCTAATGTAATAACTGAAAAGGTGAGAAAGTCATGTTGACTAATCACAAGTTGTAAGAAGTATGAATCAACTTCATTTCGATTTCAGAAATCATACAATTCCTTCTTAGCGACAATCACGTAAGTCGCATTTAAGATCAAGTATAAGGCAGCAATTTCTTATCAGGAACGTATCTCCGTTCCATGAGCAATAATCCACACTTACTAGCCCTAGTCATACTATCTTGTGGTTTTACTTATAGGATAGCAAAGAAATTCAGGACTGGCGTCTCATCCAATTTCGGATTCGTCAACTAGACGTACTTGCAACCCTTACACTTCATATGCCAAAAGGTTATTCACTAGACCGCATTTTTTAGTGAATAGTGGAGTTAGTGTACTACGAAAATGCATTTTTCAGATATAGGAAGAGAAAATTCAGCCCTCCCCTCCAGCCACTACAAAATATCCAATAAAACACATATTGATCTACTGATTTCCCTAGCCAGATAAGGGTTATCGAAACACGAAACGAATACTTCTCCAGTTTTGGATCGAACTCATCAGTGATGTGTCCAGTATAGCCAAACCAGTTTAATTTGTTCCAAACTATAAAACGCTAAAAGGCTACAACCAATAAAGTAGAAGTCATAGATCGAATGGTTAAATTTTCTCAAAATATTTTAACTACTGACAAATTAAAAGTAACTGAAACAAATAAATAAAAATAGATTGCGGGTGACAACAAATGGCTGTATCGGCCCATTTGAAAGTCACTCTACTATTTCGTTGTAAACAGTTTCGTCTAGCCTGCTTCATATTGAACAGGCAGATTACAGACAAGATTGGTCAGCACAGAAGGATCCAAGATTTTTGAGGATAAATGTAGTAGAACAACACATCCTAAAGCACTATAGATATTAGTTTTCTTCAATTAGTAGTTACAAAATTCGATATCTCTTGCTGAAATACTTCATACAGTCTACTCCTAAATGCTTATGGCCAACCAAGTCTTACAGGTGATCAGTCGCAGCCCAATTATTTCAGTGGTAACGTCTCTGACTGTAGGACTAGGTGAAATGAATATGAATCTCAGTTAGCATATCATTTCTATCGATATCATAGATATGCCTTACTGACGAGTGCCAAAAAGTACGAAACCTTGGTTCAGAGCTTCTTGCAGACTATATTACTAAGATTTGTTTCAAAACCATTTTCTCTGAAGTGTGATTGATCTCAGGGTAAGAGGTTTCTTAACTGAATTAGATCATGTCACGAGATGGTGAGACTTTGGAATTATATTAAATGGTAACTTGATGATATCTGCGGTGCATATTCGAATTTCTAAAGGCTAATTGTTTACTCTCAGAGTGTCGTTAGGAAAGACTCGTGGATTCCATCAGTTTCTTCTCAATTAAGGAATGCAAACAACTGAATGTTTGCAGGGATGAGAGCAGCTGAAATGTAGACTGATAAAAGGTGTACTCAAAGACTGCGAAAAGTGGTGGGTAGCGAAATCTAAAGTGATGGAAAAAGCAGAGGTGATAGGCAACATTAGACAGTTATTCAGACTTATCGTGTAAAACTGGAGTGAAAAAATTAAGGAATATCAAGGAAGAATGGATCTATTATTCACGCGTGGGAGAGACGACTGGAGCGATGGGCAGGACACTTCGGAGAGAGATTCGATTGGGATCCAACAATTATTCCTTTTGCTCACTGTCCAGTCAAACTGTCAACAGATCATCGAGATACAACATCCACCACTTACAGAAGCAGGGAGTGCTGTAAGCAATCTGAAATTAGGCAGAGTAGTAGGACTGGACTGATTTATACCATTGGTATTTTAGGACAGTGGTACAGGATTATTGTCAAAATTAACAGAGCTGTTAACTGGTGTGTAGTAGGAGTAGAATATGATCCCCTTTGACTGGTTTCAAACACTCATTGTTGCAGTCTTCAAGAAAAGCGAGAAGCGCCCTTGTCATAACCACAGGGGATTCTATGTCCAAGTGGAACTCGAGAACAGCAAGCTTGAGAAAAACAAGTAGGTTTCAGACCTGGACGTGGGTGTATTGACCAAATATTCACTCTCCTTTAGGTTCTGGAACATAGACATGTTTACCAACGTCCGACACTGTCTGGATTTCTCCACCTGAATGTGGCATTCATATAATTGACTATAATCGATTATGTAACCGTATGATATACTGAACAATGAGGTATTTGAACCAAATAGTCACCTATCAAGTAGTCAAATTCATAAATCAAGTTATTTGATAACAACAACAACAACTTCAAACTACCGCTATCATAATGTCATTTTTTTTAGTATAACACAAAATTGGACATTGAAAACTCACAGTTATTGTGGAATGAATACTTTGAGTTGATTTAGCTCTACGTATATTCTCTTTTTGTTGTTGTTGTTGTTGTTGATGGTGAATAGAAGTATGTGAATTTGATGGAATTTCTACAACCTTCACTTTTGAATATTCAGGTATTGTTGTTTGTTTTACTCGATTTTGATGTTTTCCATCTGAATGTTTTGATCTATAATCATTTAATGATGTATGTGATAATTGATTGATCTCATCAATAGATGTTAATATAATTGGAGAATATGATTGATTTACTTGTTGATTAGATGTATCAATATCACCTGGTGTACATTCATCAGATAAAGTATATGATGATCCTGTCAATTGTTCCATCATTGATATAGGTCTTTGATGATGGTGTTGTTGTTGGTGTTCAGTATTCTCCATTGATGCTGATAATGATTCTATTGTATAATCTGATCTATTTAAATGTTCATCTTTTCTTAAAATATTTTCTAGAACACGTATAATTTGTTTTTGACCTTTTACTGATTCTTTAACTAATTTACAAGTTGTTTGTCTTTCAATAGCCTGTGAAGTAGACATATGTTTCAATGTCTCTTGACATGTTTTATTACGTAAATCTAATTCATATTTATGTATTTGAATTAACCACTTTCGTTGTATATCATAATATCTTTTCATTTGTAATCTTGCTAAATTTCCAATTGCCATAATTCTACGTTGTTTTAATTCACCAAGATTAAGTAAGTAAGCTAAATTTAAATTGTTCAATGAAAAGATAAAGAGCGGGAAAATCAAATTTTGAATGATTAAATTATACAGTATAAAAAGTTAACAACAATCTTTTTCTCTATCAGGAGTGAATTTAAGTTCCTGAGGCGCCAAACTCTGAAGTCTGTAGAGAATATTTAATATTTCATCAATCCTATCCAAATCAACATAGGACTAAGGCATTACTGCGGAACAGTCCAAGTTACCACAGTTCAGTACAGTACATCAAGTAGAAAGATAGTGAAGTGGAAGATGAAAAAAAGAAAATTCACTCACAAGAAATATAAAGTACGAAAAGAGAGAAAAGAAGAATGAGAAAATGGTGAGATTCGGTATAGCGTCGTGTGGGAATACATCTGCGCCACTGACATCGGTTCTCAGCCATATCATCGTCTATAGTCTCTAGCCACTGGTTCCTCTTCTTTTGCTCGCCATCAACCAGGTAGTTTGCATCGCTCCCACTTAACTCAAACCAACAGTCAAACAATTCATTCATTGGTGACATGTTTCAGTCTAGCCGCCTAGAGCCTTTTCCAGCATGAACCGACTTCGGTCAACAACATGTGACGAGCTACACGGTGACTAAACCTACATAACACACTTCAAGTCAACCATCTCAGTCGATGAAGGTTTTCAACCGTGTCAACAGATTTACCTCTTCTCCCTAAAACTCTGCCTGACTTCTGCATTACTCACTTGGTGACACCACGGAATAAGGCCTATACTACGCCGGCGACACTGGTCAAATGACTGTAGCCTTTTTCATGTCTTGCGCATTCAATGGCCATGTTTCACTGCCATACAGCATAACAGACCGGACTGCTGTGCAGTACACGCATCCGTAATCGACAAACAACCGGATATCACGGCATCACCATAGCTGCCGTAAGTCGGCAAAGGCCAGTCGAGCCTTTTTTATCCATCCAAAGATTCCATAGGCAACCGACCAAGTCACCAGAGCTGATCCTACTTCCAAGGTAAGCGAAGTGGTCAACACACTCAACCACTACACTCTCTGTTGTTAGCCGTGGAACAGTTGAAGAGCAGTCCTGGAGCAATGATTGGCATTTTGTTATTGAGGAACGCATCGCAAACATTCTCAAATTGCAACTCAGAGTGTACAGAAGACTCTGTATCTTGTCAGCGTATTCACCTAACAGGAGTATGCCATGTTATCTGCATATTCTAGTTAAAACAAAAATTCCCCTGCGGTTAGGTTAACCTCTGTGTAATCAGGTGACGAAAGGGAGACATCCTTAGGAATATCTACCATCAAATTCAATAAGAATGAAGACAATGGAAACCCTTGGCACACACCAATCGACAAGTACAGCTCCCCAGACATCTCACCAAAGGCTCTAACACACCCACAAGTGTTCAAGTAGAGAGTCATCAATAAGGTGATGTATTTACTCGGCACGCCTTCCAGTGACACACATTGCCATAACACTTTTCGATAGATCAGTATTTGATATACACGATTCCAATTTATTCATGTCATCATGTCGAATGTCTACTATTACGTAACTGTCAATAATTCACAACAATCTTCTCATGTTGAGTTACTCTTTATCAACAGAATTCTATCGATTTTAGCATCATTCACTACTTACAGGTAATGAAATGCCGATGAGATGTTTCACTTCCTCTTTCGACTTGTCAGCTGGATGAACATACATGCTTTTAACGGATTCCCACACCTCTTATTTCTTCACCTGAACGTACAGAAAACACAGGTGATGAAGATATTCAACCAACAACAAACACCAATCACTGTCAACTGCAGACAGAAACCTAAATGAAGTAGTCTCCTTCACCTTCATCTCAGCATCGTTTCAACTACAGGCAGCAGCACACATAAGGACGTCGAAGCCACGATCAGAAAGACAGAAACACAAGCCATTCTTCATTAATCGGAAACCAGTGTGGGGAGATCTACTGCACCGCACTGCACTCCACTCCGCTACACTCAGCATAAAGTGAGAACAACATCCAGATCTTCAACACTCACTCACTTACTCACTCAAGCAAGTCAGTGCTTCCTTCTGATGGTTGAGAGACTTGGCGTGTTACGAAAAGCATTTCTCACAAACTGCACACATACATGCTGAACAGCTGCCGTCTACCCTCACTCGATACTGAAGGTCGATCAGATGGCGAGAATAATGAGCAACAAGGAACTCATTCTGGCTAGCTGTTCACCGACTAACCGACAAAGAAGCTATCATCCAACGTGTATGCAGAGGAACAACGTGGAGATCCATTGGATTGGATTGGACATACACTAAGAAGAGGGTTTGAGAACCCAGTCAGTCTTTACTTCTTATATCAACTACTTGCAGGAATCTTAATTCACACCAAGTGCGATCATGCCTAAAATGTAACTAATCTAAATCAAACAACTGGAGATGGAAAATCAGCTTGTCAGACTATGATATGACTAAATAGTGAAAAAAACATATCGATTAGATGAAATCTAAATTATCAGTGTTGATCAAAGTCTGTCAGTTAAGGAATCCAATTTGTCTCTCAATTGGTAATTATTCAACACGGTGACATTCTGTTTTCTCCCACTAAACATAAACAAAGTCAACACAGAAGTTCACACATTGGTTAAACGCTGTAAAGGAATCATCAACAAATAATTAAAAGACTGAACAGCCTTGATTTTCTCCGCTTCGTTGAAGAAATAGGAATTAAGAGGTTACACAATGGAACAGCACCTCCCCCTCACCAACCCGTCGACCATCAAACTCTCGCACAACACTCGGCTTTCAAGACGAACACCTTACCATGCACACAATAGAACAGAGACCGATGCTTCACATTTTTCGATTACACTCAATTCATGTTTCCCAAAAAACCTGTACACACTGTTTCGCTTCGACCCCTGGTAGACACAATCATGGGTGAGCACTACTACTCAGGAGTTGCATACTAGGAAGGAGCAGCTCTCCACAACTCTCAGTTTTTTCATGATTCTCCAAGTTGGTGTCAGCCCAGGATGAATACCAACTTGCAATCAATAAATCTCCATTTACCGCCAAATTCACATTTCCTTTATTTTACACTACACTCTGAATTCCAGTTATTATCAATTGCTAAATGTCAAGTGGTACTCATCTGCAACCTCAGCGAAACTGATATTCTGCCTGGCATCCAAACTCTTGTCACCTAATGCTGAGATCAAAGATGCTACCACTGGGCTAGTTGGCTAACAGTGACCTCCTGTAGAACTGCATCAGGCACATTGAATGGTCACTGGAGGACAGTCAACTAACTTCATGTTCTCCAGTCCTCCTCGGTGATCATCGAATTCTGTCGATCATCTTGCAATTTGGCCACCAGACTAGGCAGCCACCTCAACATCCCAATCCACTTCGATTGAAGTCGATCAACACTCAGGACTACACAACATCAAATTGATTACCCTCCAGTAATTACTCTTTGAATCATCAATGGATGAATATTATTCTATACGGTGGTCGACGACACAACGCAAATCAATTGCCAGTTCAAATTTGGAATATTTAGCCAACTCTGGACATGTAGCTCCACCACAATCCTCTTTCAGTCTCATCTACATAGTCAAGGGGAATACTCCAATCAGAAGGTGTACGCTTTCGACAGTTGTGCACTACGGTAGAACCACTAGTAATTCACCAATTCAAATCTGATCACTCTGTACAAAAAGTCTGCTCAATCTCTTATCTTACAATGATATTAACAATTTAACAGTTTTACTTCAATTTCATTATAATCAATTAGTTGACTATTATCACCTCTTCATTATAACCCTTGTGTTTCCCCATACACCACCTTCTTTACACCAAGTCGATATTCAATCTCACATCCAACAACAATTTCCACCTTATCAAACTGTATCCCCCACCACCCTCATTATTCCCACTATCTAGAAGGTTATTATACAACCACTCTACATTCTTCATTTCACTTTGAACATCATCTACCCTAATGACCTAACTATATATACCCTGTTGGTCGATAACATACACCGTTATATCTGCATCACATATATATACATGAATACGATTGATTGTACAGCTACAGGAAATGATGTCGTCGATAAAGAAAGAATTTCTCCACTGAGCTATCACCTCCTCTCTTCTTCACCATTGAATTCAATTACACGAAATCTCTTTTCAAAATTCAACTTCCATTGCACAACAATCTTCTCATAATCAAATATCTTATCGTCTTCATCTACATTCATGTGACTGACAACTTTACTATCCACCCCCCCCCCCCCCCACTTACATGTTGAACGTGTCCACCAACTGACTGATTGGTGATCAACTCACATGTGGTAAACTCTCATTCCAGTCACATACTGATGGTTTCATAGGTCGTTGTTGTTGTTGTTGTTAGCAGCTGATGAGAACCTGACAAAATGAAACCATAAGATTTTATTCTGCTCAATTTGTTTTTCTAAACCACTTCTCAAGTTGATACACAAGGCAAACATGCATCAAACATCCATCAAATCCACTATGAATCCCTCTGAACAACTCAATCTACAGTCCACTAACATAGATTAGGCTTCACACAATCAATTATCCACAACTATCGAACATCCATTTCGCTACAAAACAACCTTCAGTTGGTTAACTTACTCCAGGCACTTTTCACTTCTTCACTCATAAATCAATATTTCTCAACCTTCAGTGTACCAACTCATTACCAGTCTCCATTTCAACGTCAACTTATGCTCAAACGGGAAAAACAACTCCAATACATCACAAAATCTACAATTCCCTGACTCATTAGAATCTACTCTGTGTTGGTAAATAGTACATACTATACGAAGTTTCTTTGAAGAAAATATTTGGTCAGTGAGTGAGTAAGTGGCCATTTATTTACCTAACTAGAAAGCAATTAGTTGGCACAACTATCTATTGTATTGTGGTAACAACCAAAAGAATCAATTTGTACAGTGTTCAATTTCGTGGAAGATTTTTGG